AAGTGAAAAAGATTAGAGAATGTGATAATATTACCATAGCCAGAGACAATGGAAACCATTGAAGCAACAAGGGCACAAGCCAAAGCATATTTGTTCAATGATGTGTTTTGAACTTCTTTGTCACCTTGATCAATTATCATGATGATGATGATATTGTTAATGGTTTTCGGCAGTTTCCTCCGCGGCTCATAATGAATCGACAACGCATCTTCTTCGACGCTTCACCATGAAGAGTAACAATCCGCATCCTAAACCTTTATGCGTCATCGATCGTTTTCATCAACTGCAAACAGAAACAGAATCGACCGGATTCCGCGGAACTCATAAAAGAAGATATGGAAAAACAAGTAAGAAAGAAGAAGTAACGATACCTTTGAATCTTTCGTCGCCGAGAATCATCTTTACAACCGTCTTTGAATCCGTTGAGATCGGTTGTCTAACACTCTTCTTCCCATCCGTTCATGGTGTCGAGATGCAATTCTTGCTTCGCTGGGGTTTGCGTTTGAGCGTAGATAAAAGGAATGAAATGTCTGCTTAGATGAAAAGGGATGAAGCCCCGGGAATCGCCTGCTGAAACTCCTTCTCTGCCATTTAATTGCGTCTTGAAGCTCCTAAGATTTCTACTGTTGATTAGATTTTGGAAGAACGAGGATTGATGAAAACCAAAGGCAGATTTGGAAGCGTGGCATCAAGACAAAGAGGACAAAGGGATAATTTCGAAGAATGGAAGCTTCACCATTCTAGGCGCAACATCGTACTTCCGGCGGTGGTTCTTTGCTTCAATCGGATAAAAAGCTCTTTCACAAAACCTAATCCTCTTTCAATTTTGTTTGTTACTCCTATTTTGTTTTTTTATATTTTTATTTGTTGTATTTTGTTTATAATTTAATAATAAATATTAGTTGCTGAAAATATTATGATATTGTGTTGATATTATGATATTGTGTTGCTGAAAAAAAGTGGGAAAGTAAAAGAATAAAAAAAAGTAGCGATATTGTGTTGATAATCTAAGATCTTTTTTAGTACTAGACATTAGATAATATATTTTAGGGTTCATAATTTGTAAATCTAAATTTTAATTTCATGTTATATTTGAATGTGTTAATGATGGATATAAAATCAAATTTATATAAATCTCAAAAAAAAATTGTTTTACCGCGACGGGTGTTTTACCGTCGTGCCCATGAGAATTTTTAAAGGTTTTGGGTGCGACGGTTGTTTTACCGTCGTGAAATGAATTTTAGGACGGATAATTTTACCGTCGTGAAAGATTTAAGGGTGCGACGGGTGCTTTACCGTCGTGATATGCCTTTTAGGACGGTTAATTTTACCGTCGTGACTAGTTGTTGGTGAAAAATCAATGTTAAAAGTGTTAAATGGGGGCCGACGGTTGTTTTACCGTCGTAATAATAATATTATGATGGTTAAATATACCGTCGCAAAATAAATATTAGGGACGGTTGGTGTCAACTGTCGTAAACACTGTCGCTATATGTCAATTACGACAGTTATCACATAACTGTCGCAATTTTTGTGTCGTTAAACACTAATTTTCTTGTAGTACTCTTCAAGAATGGTTGAACTCAGTTTTATAAAAAAGTCCGCCAATACTTGTGATTTGATGCTACTCTTTGGCGTGAACATGATGTTGTATTCTGATAACTCCACGACCCAAGCTACCAACCTGCCCGCAAGATCCGACATCTTTAGGATTTATTTTATAGGATAAATCATCTTGACAACAATAGGATGTTCCTTAAATTAATGCCTCATCTTTATGTCAGTGATCACTACTGCCAGAGCCAAGCGTTTGATCTTTTAATAATAGAGTTATGCTCCCTAGAGAACTTTATTGACGAAGTAGATCGTTTTTTCTCCTTCATCACTATCTTGAACCAACATAAAATTGATAGTTTTATCTGATACTGCTAAGTATAGTATGGGGGAGTTCTCCTTCAGAAGGACTGAGATTGGTGGTGCTGACAAGAAATGTTTCAACTCTATAAACGCCTTCTCATATTATTTCGTTCATTGAAAGCTAGATGACTTCTTTAACATTGTGAAAAGTAGATAGACTTATCAACCACGCAAGACAAAAACTGATAAAGGGCAGCTAACCTCTCGATTAGCTGCTGGACTTCTTCACTGATGTCATACTCCTCATATCAATAATCGCCTAAACTTATCCAGATTCGCTTATATTCCCTGGTGGGTCAACGTGAAACCAAGTAACTTACCGGCCTGCACCCCAAAAGTACATTTATTCGGGTTAAGCCTTATGTTGAAACTCCTTATTGACGCAAATGTTTCTTCCAAATCTTTGATATGATTATTTTTCTTTAGAGTTTTGATCACCATATCGTCAATGTATACCTCTAAATTTCTTCCTATCTCTGATGAGAACACCATGTCCATTAACCTCTGATAAGTAGCCCCATGTGTTTTTAAGACCGAATGGCATCACCTTATAATAATAATTATTTATATTCACCATGAATGTTGTCTTGGGTGCATCTAACAAGTTCATACGTATTTGATTATAGCCAAAGTAGGCGTCCAAGAAATTGAGCAGGCGGAACCTAGATGCCCCGTCAATAAGACTATGTTATGTGGCAATAAATAAGGATCCTTTAGGTAAGTCTTATTAATAGGTAGCATGATACCTAGTTTATAATTACAATCGCACGACCATGTTGAAAAGTATCATACATACAACTACCCTTACTTCACAATGGTTGGTCAGATGTGGTGATATCCCCTTTTTAACCGTTGTGAATTGACTTCTACGTAATATCGATTATTGATAGCTTATAATAATAAAACTTGCAATAATAAAAGTTTATTGACTTAAATGCGCTTTTAGTCCCCTTATTTTGATGTTTTTAAACTTCTAGTCCTCCTATTTCAAATCTCATCTTTTTATCCCTTAACTTTACTTTTCTTAGAATTTATTTGATCCCCTTCCACTTTTGCATATGTCACAATGATGATTAAGATACAAAATTAATTTTTAAAAAGGTGACGGTGCTGATTGGCATAAGTTATTAACTAATATTTTTAATAATATTATAAATAATTTTATTTAAAATAGTCAAATATAAATTTAAAATTTAATTAACCAATTTTTTTACAAAATAAATTTAAGTTTAACATGTTTTACAGAATATATTAATTAATAATTTTTAATTTTTAATTTTGTTTTTAAGAAATTAATTAATCAAAATTTTCAAATAAAATATTTTGGGCTTTATGGGCCATGTTCTTACAACATGTTTTTAATTCCAAAGCCTATGTATGTGTTTGCTTTATAAACACTAAAGTTATTTGTATACAAAACAATGTGGAACTTCTATGGCCACTAAAGCAAGTATTCCCATGAGCAAAAGCATATTGTGTTTTGTAATATTTCATTCAATCACATCTTTATCCAAATACTTCCTCACAATATCAAAGAAATTTGTTCTTACACCACCAAATAAGTAATCAATAGAGCCTTTGATAAATAACGTCACAATATCTTTTTCTAGTGTTATAATACTACGTTGAAAGAGATATTTTTTAGTGTTTCTTGTGCTGTTAATTCTTTAAATGTTCTTGCTACTATAAATTGTCACAATCCTACTTATGGACGTGTGATGAAGGTGACTTTTGTTACTTACAAGTGTTGTCATCGTGATGATTAAAATAGTTGCGACATTCAACTGATATGGAGGAAGAATTAAGGATGTATGTATGACCAAATTGTTTGATTTACTTTAAGAGTATCAAGTTTGAAGTTTCAATTCAAATTTAGTTTGTTTTGTTTTGATATCTACATGTTTATGTGTTTTGGAATATTGTGTTATTTAGTCAATATATTTCTGTTGTTGAACTACTGGTTTGGTGTCTTTAAACTCATCAGCGAATAAATAATGACTTAACTTCAATTTGGTATTTATTATAAAATTGAATAAATAGTTTGCATGCACATAAAATGTAAGTGTCATTTTATTTTGTTTCAGTCTCTTTTAGTATACTACACTAACCTTGGTTCAGAGAGAAGATAACACTTATCTAGCTTAAGTTCTCTATCTTTGATCATGCTGTTTTATTATTTCTATTTTTAGATTGTAAATGAAGTTATTCGTTTTTTAATGGGATTGGAATGAATCTTAGCAACAATAACCTCTTAATTGCTTTCAATGCAACCTTTTCCTGATATGAATAAGGTTTTCTCTAGTCTTATTCAACATGAGAGGCAAAATAACTTGGATATCATACTATGGCTAACATGGATTGATATGACTATCAAGTTCTACAAAATTATACAAGTTTATTCCTTGAGAAGAATCATGAGCTTCTTGGTGCAGAAAATGCTGTCAATAATGAGTATCATGTTCAATTTCTCTCGTGCAGTTCAATGTATGTTGTTTAGTCTTTGTTATGTAGTTCTTAGAGATATTTTTGCTACCCATATTATTTTGCTTATCTTATATTCGAGTGTTTATATATCTTACACTAACACAATATATTGTCTTGCTAAGGATTAGAGACATGTTACAAATTCATGGGCTTGAGCCCAAAATTTGTTTTTTAAACTTATTGTATTAATTAATATTCAAAAACATTTTTAAATAAACTTAATTAAAATTATTAAATAATTTATAAATTATCTCAACATTACCACCTAATTAGAAATTAATTTTGTATCCTAATCCTGCCACATATATAAAATAAAAGTGAAGTGGAGGAATTATAAAGTTAAAAACATGAACATAGGAGAACTAAAAATGCATTTAAACAAAAGATAAAAGTTTATTCATTTCCAACTTTTCTTTGCTGATAGCATCTAGACTTGAATGAACACTCCCAGTTTACAACTAGACCAGTTCACCACTATGGTCAATCATTTCTCCCATAGACACCATCACCATAATCCTCCACTTTTTTTCTCACACTCTTGAAAACCAAAATATTACATGATTCCATTCCACTTTCTCACTTAGTTTCGTTCGATCCAAATGGACATCCTCTTTGCCCAGATCCAAGCTGACCTCCGCTCCAACGACGCCCTCCGTCAATCAGGCGCACTTCTCCAAGCCCTCCAACAGTCCGCCGCCGGTCGCGACATCGCAGTCATCGCCAAATCCGCCGTTGAAGAGATTGTCGCCGCACCTGCCTCCGCCGTCTGCAAGAAACTCGCATTCGACGTCATCCGCTCCACACGCTTAACTCCCGATTTATGGGACACCGTCTGTACTGGTATCCGTAACGACTTCCATTTCCCTGATCCCGATGTAACTGCCGCCGCTGTTTCAATTCTCGCCGCGATCCCTTCTTATCGCTTAGCCAAACTCATTTCCGATTGCAACAAAGAGATCTCTGATTGTTTCGATTCCCCTAGCGATAATCTCAGATTCTCCATCACTGAAACCCTAGGTTGTGTACTCGCTCGTGACGATCTTGTGACTCTCTGTGAAAACAATGTCAATCTTCTCGATCGCGTTTCCGCTTGGTGGGCTCGCATCGGTGCTAACATGCTGGACCGATCTGATGCTGTTTCAAAGGTGGCTTTCGATTCAGTTGGCCGGCTCTTTCAAGAGTTTGGTACCAAGCGGATGAGTAAGCTTGCTGGTGATAAACTGGTCGATAGCGAAAATTCACTAGCTATTCGCTCTAATTGGGTTTCCTCCATGGTTGATTTTGTTTGGAAGAAGCGGAGGGCGCTTATGGCTCGTTCCCTGATCTTGCCTGTTGAGAATTTCCGGGCTACTGTCTTTCCGATTGTTTATTCGGTTAAGGCTGTTGCCTCCGGTGGCGTCGAGGTCATTCGGAAGCTGTCAAAGTCTTCTAGTGTTGGTGGTGGTGGGGCTGAGGTTGATTCTGATGCTCAGAAATTGGTTGGTGTTTCGGATGTGGTTACACATTTGGCTCCTTTTTTGGTTTCCTCGTTGGAACCGGCATTGATTTATGAAGTTGGGATTAATATGTTGTATCTGGCTGATGTGCCTGGAGGGAAGACGGAGTGGGCATCACAATCCACCATTGCTATTCTTACACTGTGGGATAGGCAGGAATTTGCTTCTGCTAGAGAGAGTATTGTTAGGGCTGTTGTCACCAATCTTCATCTCCTTGATCTTAACATGCAGGTGGTTGACAACTCTAGTCTTATTCAAATCCAATAATTGCATATTAGTTTCAAGGCTTCAAAATAGACAAGTTTTCTTTTTCTTTTAGTATTATTGACGTGTAACCACCAACTAATCAACCATATTTGTTATGTCTACAATTTTTCATAATATCAAGGATTGTGGTGTCACAAAATCACTGTGGTAGTCTACCACAATTACCAATTGAGACTTTGATTTCTTTATTTCTTTACATCACCAGGCTATGCATTTCCTAATAATATGTAAAGGTTTATTTTGGCTTGTGAATTATAAATGGCATCAAAATTTCAGTAGTCATGTCATATGCAAATATCTGATTCAAGCTTTACATCACTAGACTATGCATTTCCTAATCATATGTAAAGATTTATTTTGGCTTATGTTTACAAAAGTCACAAAACATGCTTATTGGTCATGATTTTAATTATGCAGATATTCAGTTCTCATCTTTATATTAGTTATTATGACATTGATGTTTAGTGACTTTTGTCTTTAGTGCTTGAAATGTGTTTTATTATGTATCTTTTGTTATACATACAGGATCTTCTAAAAGTAACATTGGATGTTTGGTCAGATGAAATTGCTTGTTTTTGATGCAATAATGCTTATTATTGTCTATAACCATGTCTTCTTGCAGGTTTCACTCTTCAAGAGGCTACTTTTGATGGTGAGAAACCTGAGAGCAGAATCAGATCGTATGCACGCTTTAGCTTGTATTTGTAGAACGGCTCTTTGTGTTGACCTATTTGCTAAGGAAAGCGTTCGAAGAGGTCAGAAACCTCTTGCCGGAACTGATATTGCTTCCCTTTTTGAGGATGCTAGAGTGAATGATGATCTTAAGAGCACTACAAGTAAAAATATATTTAGGGAAGAGTTAGTTGCATCACTAGTGGAAAGTTGCTTTCAGCTGTCTCTGCCTTTACCTGAACAGAAAAACTCAGGCATGGAGGGCAGGGTCATTGGGGCTTTAGCATACGGAACTGGTTATGGTGCATTAAACTGGACAGAACCTTCTTTAGAAGTGGTCGAAGTTTGTCGGCCTTGTGTTAAATGGGATTGTGATGGACGCACCTATGCAATTGACTGCTACTTGAAGTTGCTTGTTCGGCTATGCTGCATTTACGATACTAGGGGCGGGGTAAAAAGAGTCAAAGACGGTGCTTCTCAGGACCAAATTTTGAATGAGACTAGATTGCAAAACTTGCAACGTGAACTTGTGAAGGACTTACGTGAGGTACACAAACTATAACACCTCATATTCAGCACTGCTTTCATGAAAAAGATTTACTTTTCTGACAATAGCATGTATGCGGCCAAATGTCATTCAAACAGTGCCTTTATAATTATTGATATAGTTTTAATTGGTAGATTTAGAGCAAAAGACCTTCAACTTTACCCTGCTTCTCAAGTTTTTTCTGCTGTGGCTATTTAATCCGCTATTAAGACATTTGTTGCAATGCCAATAAATTTGACAATGAAATTTTGTTGTTGGTGGGTTTGAATTTCTCGGTCATCACTCAGTTATTCTGTTGGGAACCCAAGAAATGAATGGGATAGAAAGAACGCTTCATTTAAAAAGTATGATAGAATAGGAGAGAATTTCTCCTCCAAGGGTTTCTCCTTCACAATTGAAAATACTTTAATCACAATTACAATATTTAAAGATGCTCTCTCTATACTGTGTTCTCTTATTTATACATACTCTCAATAACACCCTCAACTACCTAACTTCTCTAACAACTCATAACAAATGCAGTCAAGATTTAGTGTTGGGTCTTAGGATCTTAGATCCTATGTGCCACAGCTTCCAGAATGTGCTATGATCAGAGCAAGATCTATTTCTGGCGCTCGCGGTCAAGATCGAGATCTTTATGCAAGATTGTAAAGGGAAGTTGTGTTGGGCTTCTGATTTTGTTGGGCATTTCTTAATCGGGTTGGGTTTTGATAAAAAACGGTTTGCAAACATTAAAACTTGAGTATTATTCCCTTCCTAAACCCTAAAACGCTGCGGCTTCCCTTCCCCACTGTTCTTTGCAACTGCAATGCCTCCTCCTCTCCTCACCGCGGCTACGACGACGTCTTCCGCTCCTCCCTGAGATGCCATTCTTCATCTCTCCTGTTTTTGTTCTGTTTCACACCTTGCAACTATGTTTCATCTTTTATTTCTTTTACAACTCTGTAATAGCTTCAAATACTGGGTTATACCTTGGATGTCTCAACTTGTTTTTATGGATCATGCCTTTTGAACTACTTATTTTGAACTTAAATCTTTCGAGGACAAGGATTATGTCTTTTGAGTACTCATGAACTTAGTTTTTTGTGTTATTTTATGAACTTAGTACTTGGTGGTTATTATTAACTTATGGAATGATAGTTATGCATTATTAATTAAATTGGTTGAATCATGAACTTAGTTTTTTGTGTAATTTTATGAACTTACTACTTGGTTATTATTAACTTATGGAATGATAGTTATGAATTATTAATTAAATTGGTTGAATGTTGCGATTTGTATGTTTTGTCCATGTGTTATAATTTTTATGCTTTTGTGTGTGTGTGTGTGTATGAAATTACAAAGCACTGTTGGTGGCTTCTGTTTCTCCAAGTCAGGTTTCATCTTAATTTTTTGCTTTCTGACATACCCATTGGACTAGTCCCATCATAGCATCACCTAAATTTCTTGACCAAGAACAAGATTCTTGGTGTCTGTCTCCTTCCTAAAATAGTCCCATCATAGTATCACCTAAATTTCTTGACCAAGAACAAGATTCTTGGTGACCGTCTCCTTCATAAAATTGTTTTTGCTGTTGTGACAAGATCTTCTCTAGAGAAGGTTGTGCCTCCATCTAGGTTGTCTATAGCGGGCTATAGCGTAGCGGAACCGGACCTCACTGTGACGCTTTTTGGGCTGCTAATCGCTATCTGCGATAGCGGGAATAGCAGCTGCTCTTTGTGGAATTTGGTCATTTTGAGTCATTTTGTTTATGTTTGTTTGCGTTTAGAATTTGATTTAGTCATTTTGAGGACATGTATAATTTGATTTTGATGGGAACTTATATCGATGGTGCTGTTGGAATTTATGTTTATTGTTGCAACTTTTTAAATGTTGTTGGTACTTAGAAGTGAAGATTTGGCAGACACAAATGTGATTGTCATTTTGTTTACGTTTGTTTACGTTTAGAATTTGGTTTAGTCATTTTGAGTACATGTATAATTTGATTTTGATGGGAACTTATATTGATGGTGCTGTTGGAATTTGTGTATACTGTTGCAACTTCTTAAATGTTGTTGGTACTTAGAAGTGAAGATTTGGCAGACACAAATGTGATTTAGTCATTTTGTTTACGTTTGTTTACGTTTAGAATTTGGTTTAGTCATTTTGAGTACATTTATAATTTGATTTTGATGGGAACTTATATTGATGGTGCTGTTGGAATTTGTGTACATTGTTGCGACTTCTGTTTTTAAGGCATTTTGTATGTTGTTGGAGCTTATTTTAAGTATTTATGTATTCATGTTAAGTATTTACCTTGATTTTTAAAGCTCACAATAGCAGTCATCCCGCTATCTGTTATGCCGCTATAGCATTTTGGGGGTCCCGAGATTAACAACCTAGGCATCCATCTTGTTAGACACACCATGGAGCATATTTACTTACCCCTCAACCTTTTAGATATGCCAACCCTTTTGACACTCTTCTTGACCACAGGGTTGCAGCCTTTGCTCTTTCTCGGTCTTCCTCTTCTCTTCTTGTTTTACCATTTCACCAAGAATTTGTTTGTAGGTTTTGTATCACTCTATTGCTGCTCCCTAAGCCTTACAGCCACTATTTCTCCGTCCAAATATACGATCATACCTGTGGAAAAAGATTCCTAGATTGAATCTGGGTTTTCTTGATCCGAAGAACGAAATCAAAATAGTGTGCAAGCCTCCAAGCTCATAAACGCCCACTGCACTTTACCAAACCCATGATTTTCTTGCTCCTCAAACATTTTCAGCCCTTGTAACCCACCCAATGGGGTCTATCCTGTAAAAATTGGAAAATCCACCATTTGTGCTGCCTCCATTTCCATGAACATTGACACTGCTCAAAGATCCGGCAGATCAAACCAATTGTTAGGAACCCAAGAATTGATGGAACAAATATAACACTATCTAGGAAATATGATAGAATAGGATAGAATCTCTCCTCCAAGAGTTTCCTCTTAACAATAGAGAATACTCTATTCATAATTACAATATTCAAAGACGCCCTCTACTGTGTTACGTATTTATACACACTCTGTACAACAACCTCAATTATAACTCACTCACTAACTAACTACTCTAACAACTCATAACTACTATAACCTCCCTTTATTCTATAATAATCCTAACCTCCATGGTGTGCTGAGTTATTTTTTACCTTGTTTGAACCTAGAAGATATTTTATGAATCCTCTAGGACATTTTTTTTATTTAACCCTCAATTAACACATCTGTTGAAATCCAATAAAGATTGATTAGGAAATTTTGTTCGTGTGCTTAATTTGTCATCATCACTTAGTTTGGCTATTCACCTCTATCTCCATGATTTGCTGAATTAGTTTGACTTTTACATTGTTTGTTCCTGGAAGATATTTTATGAGTCTTCTAGGACATCTGTATTTTAAATTTTGTACAAAACCTTTAGGACATAGTATACAAAAGAGTATTTCTCTTTCGTTTTTGATAGAAGAGGAAAAGTTTCTTCACAGATTGTGACATTTAAAATAAAATGTTCGTTGCAATTATGAGACTTATATTTCTTGCCCCTACATATGTTTTTTCCTTCCTTTTATTTTATATATCGTCTTTACAAATCAATTTAAAGTAACTTAAGTTTCCTCAAACACTTGAACTTTTTTACTCATGTTGTGCATAATCACATATAGGTGTTTTTTGAACTTCAACTCTTGCATATTAATGGCTGTGAATGTAACAGGTCAATACACCAAGAATATTGGCCCGCCTTATATGGGCTATTGCAGAGCACATAGATATAGAAGGATTGGATCCACTCCTAGCAGACGACCCTGATGATCCTCTTAATGTCATTATATCCAATATTCATAAGGTTCTTTTCAATGTTGATTCAACTGCAGATACAACAAATAGAGTTCAAGATGTACAGGCAGTTCTTATATCTGCTCAAAGATTGGGGTCACGCCACCCTAGAGCTGGACAGTTACTTACTAAGGAGCTTGAAGAGTTTAGGACCAATGCTTTGGCTGATTCTGTCAGCAAGCACCAGTGCCGTTTGATATTGCAAAGAATCAAATATGCTTCTGGTCATCCTGATAGTAGGTGTGAATATTATGAAGATTATTGTACATTACTGCCGGCATTGTGAATCCAGCTATTCACATTGTCATTGATCTTTATTCATTCCTGTTTTCCTCAGTTCACTCTTTTGTTTTTCTTTTACGTGATCATTTCATTGAAAATCTAGTTTATTATCATTGTGAAATTTTAGCTGTAATGGTGCTGGTTGTAGAAAAGCTTCTTGCCGTTTTATTCTTTGCTAGTTACTTGAGTTTGTGGTTATTGGTCATTTCTAATGTTAACATTGTCACCTTTATTATGCTAAATCATAAACTTAATCACTACTTTATAACTTATTGCCATTATGTCTCTTATCATATTATTATTACCTTTTCCCCAGGTGGGCTGGTGTTACAGCAGCCAGAGGGGATTACCCATTTAGCCACCACAAATTAACTGTTCAGTTTTATGAAGCATCTGCTGCTCAGGATAGGAAGTTGGAAGGATTGGTTCACAAAGCTATTTTAGAGCTATGGAGACCTGACCCCAGTGAACTAACCCTTTTGCTTACCAAAGGAGTTGATTCTACTTCACTTAAGGTTCCTCCTACTGCAAATACTTTAACTGGAAGCAGTGATCCTTGCTATGTTGAAGGTTATCATTTAGCAGATTCAAGTGATGGGAGGATAACTCTGCATTTAAAGGTCATACTGTCAATTATACTTTTATTTGTCAATTTTTAGGGTTCCTTATACATTTAAGCAGGCTGTACTTTTTTGCAATGGTTGTTATATTTCCCTGTGAAAGCTCAGATGGATGTTAAGCTTAGTAGACTAATTTTTACCTAAAAAAATATGAGGAACCATTGTATCTTTTGTTTTCAGATTAGGGTTGTTCATAAAAACCATGAACCGAACTTAACTGCCGAACCAAACTGAACTGAGGTTAAAATAATCAAACCGTTATGTTTGGTTAGTGAACCAAACAGTTCTAGAACTGAACCGAAACAAAATCCGAACCGAACCAAAACTGAAAATGAAAAATACTAAGTCTTAACTTTTCAAAAAAAAAAAAAGTTTAACGGTTCGGTTTGGGAAAAATTGTCTTCTAATGGTTCGGTACGGTTCGAGAAAAATTGTCTTCTAACGGTTCGGTACGGTTCGGAATTATGAAACAGTATACCAAACTAATAATTTTAGTTAGGTTCGGTTCTAAGTAAATTGAAATGGTTCGGTTCAGTTCGAGTGAACTTTTACCATAGTTTAGTTCGGTTTGGTTTGGTTTTCTCCATGAACTGTACCATGAACAACCCTATTTCAGATACACTGAAAAATTGATCATGTTGAGTGGAAGATCCAGTGTTATCAAATTGCCCCCGCCATAGCCGCTATGGCGGATATACATGGCGGTTTTTGGGTTCGCCGCAATGGTAAATATCGGCCGCTATTGTGCGTTTTTCCGCCATAATCCGCAATAGCGGCGCCGCAAAGCGGCCGATATGGCGGGATTTGGGCTCTCCGCCATGGACCGTAATCCGCCATTGACAACATTGGGAAGATCATAACAATATTAAACAATAAAATCTTGTTATTTTTTGAAAGCTAATGTTCCAGTATATTTGTAAGAAAGTTGCATTAGTGTGTAAATAGCATTCCAGTAAAAAATATTACAACTTAAAAAAATATTGTAAATTATTCCATTTAGGCATGCAGCAGCTTCCTATATTCATAACTGCTTAGAAGAAATACTGATGTTATTTACTTGTGCCTTGGTTATTTTCCTTTAATCTGTTGATAAACAAATTAAAACGTGTTCTAGAATTGCTCAATAGTTTCATTTTCAAAGTATAAATATCATGGACAAGGATATTGTTTGTTTTTTGCACACATTTTATCTAATATAAGTTAAAATGTTTCTCATCTACTACAAATTTATAATGTTTCAGGTCTTAAATTTAACCGAGCTCGAATTAAATCGGGTGGATGTACGAGTGGGATTATCCGGTGCATTATATTATATGGATGGTTCTTCTCAAGCAGTGCGGCAGTTGCGTAATCTTGTTTCACAGGTTGAATCTCCTCTAAATTGCTTATTTCATTCCAGTTTGAGATGGCTATTTTGCATTTGCATATTCTTGGCTATTCTTTCTCATTTTGTTTTACATGTCGAGAAAGTTTTGAGAGATGTGTCTGGCCTAGATTGGATTCAGACTGAGGTGTCAAACAGGAACGTCTTATGAGTTCGGCCTATTTAGATTCTTCTAAATAAACTAAGTCCAGCCTGCGCCTGCCCAATTTTTTTTTGACCAATGAAAAAACACAGCCTGGCCCAATTTTTTTCCAGGCTAATCAGGCAGGCCGACTTATCACTCCTCTAGAACATTTTTTAGTTGGATTCACTAGAAACTTACTTCTAACTGTATTTTTAGTCAATTGATTAATGAAAAAAATCTGAGAAGGATGTAGAGAAATTGACATGGTAAACGTGGTACAAAAATTTACTATGGCGTGTGATAGAGTGGTATCGGTTGGATCAACAAGACTTGCATTTAGTTTTCCTTGATATGGAAAAGACGTATGATAGAGTGCCTATAGAGATTTTATGGAAAGGCCTATAGAAGAAAGGGTTAGGATTGCTTAATATTCGAGCTATTTTGGATACGTGTGAGGTGGTCTCTCAACTAGTGTGAAGACACAGTGTAGAGATGGAGGATTTTTCCATAACAATAGGATTGCACCAAGGTTCAACCCTAAGCTCTTACCTTCTTACTTTAGTTTTGAATGTTCTTATGAAACACATCCAAGAGCTAGCACCGAACCCTAAGCTCTTACCTTCTTACTTTAGTTTTGAATGTTCTTACGAAACATATCCAATAGCTAGCACCGAGATGTATGTTTTTTGCAGATTATAGTCTTACTTGAAGAGTCGAAGGAAGAATTAAATGAGAGGTTGGGGAATAAGATTAAGATACGAGCCTTAGAAGTGTAGGGCTTCCGCTTGAGCAAATGTAAGATGAAGTATATGGATGCAATGTTATCAAATAGTGGCCATGGCGGATATACATGGTGTCTCTCAACTAGTGTGAAGACACAAAGTGTAGAGACGGAGGTTTTTCGCATAACAATAGGATTGTACCAAGGTTCAACCCTAAGCTCTTACCTTCTTAATTTAGTTTTGAATGTTCTTACGGAACACATCCAAGAGCTATTACCGAGATGTATGCTTTTTGCAGATGATATAGTCTTACTTGGAGAGTCGAAGGAAGAATTAAATCAGAGGTTAGATAATAAGATTAAGATACGAGCCTTAGAAGTGTAGGGCTTCCGCTTGAGCAAATGTAAGACGAAGTATATGGAATGCAATGTTATCAAATAGTGGTCATGGTGGATATACATGGTGGTTTTTCGGCTTGCCGCAATGGTAAATGTCGAACGATATTGCGGGTTTTTCCACCATAAACCGCTAAAACAGCGCCGCAAAGCTGCCAGTTTCGAGGGATTTTGGCTCTCTGTCATGGACCACCATCCGCCATTGACAACAATGATGGAATGTAAGTTTAGCAAAAGGAGAAGTGTTTCTAACGTAGAAGTGAAAGTTGAAGATCATATCATACCACAAGTGGGATAAGAATTAGTTGTTGCATGTTTTGTGGCACATGTAAAATATATTTAGTATTAATTTAGATTCACCAGAAGTTTACAGCCGGCTAAAAATATTTGAAAAAGTCTACTAAAGGCAAAGCAAAATATGTGTAGTCTTTGAACAACTTGTTTACATTTATAGGTTAAGTTGTCCTAATTTGCAGGATTTTTTTAACTTGCTTAATTTACTGTGTAAATAATCAGCTCCTTATGTTTTTGTTGGAGATTCGAATGTGGGATATCTTTCAACTTCATGCATATCTCAAGAAAAAGATGCCAATTTTTTAGGCATCCTGATGAAAATGACACCCATTCTTGTAGTAGTAGCTCTTAAGTTTTCATTTTTGATGATTTCTATCTTGCATGTAGTTGTTTTTTCTTTCCTTGGTTTTGATGCTGATCATGAATATCAGTCAGAAGTCGCCATTTTGTGATATATATATCAGTTTTTTCCCTTCTTTTGTTATATCCTTTCAGCCTTTAAGTTATTATTACCTGTTAATTTAGAGTGTAGAACTTGACAGTGTATATAATGCTGGGTTATTTTATATTCTGCGCTGATTATTAATAGTTCTACATGTCATGATTTGCATTGTCTCTCTGCATCAATAGTCCTATACTATTCTTTGATTTGCAAAAGCTTCTTGATCTAAATTCCTGGGGATGATATTACCTTTTCAGGATCCAGTGCTGTGCAGTGTGACAGTTGGTGTTTCCCACTTTGAAAGATGTGCCCTCTGGGTTCAAGTGTTGTATTACCCATTCTATGGTAGTGGTGCTGTAGGAGACTATGAAGGTGACTATGCTGAGGAGGACCCTCAAGTCATGAGACAGAAGAGAAGCTTAAGGCCCGAGTTAGGTGAACCTGTGATTTTGAGATGTCAACCTTATAAAATTCCTTTGACGGAGCTACTTTTACCACACCAAATATCACCAGTTGAATTTTTCCGATTGTGGCCCAGTTTGCCAGCTATCGTAGAATACACTGGTACGTATATATATGAAGGGAGTGGCTTTCAGGCTACTGCAGCTCAGCAGTATGGTGCATCTCCTTTCTTGAGTGGTCTGAAATCCTTGTCTTCCAAGCCATTCCACAAAGTTTGTTCACATATTATCCGTACAGTGGCCGGGTTTCAGGTCTGGATTTACTATCTTATAAATTCCCCTTCCTTATTATTGCTTCCTGTTCAAAATAATTAAAAAATGTTTTGTACCATTCATGGATTCGCGTAGGGTGCATTTGGCCAAACAGTTTAATTATGCGTTTATTCACTTTATTGAGTAAGTGCTTATTATAAAGCACTTATAGATAAACTATTTGTATACTCAAAGAGATAGTGTGGTTGAACTGTTTTCTAAATTGTAAGTTTTGTTATAAGCTATACCATGCATAACTTGTTAAGATAAACTAAAAACAGCATGTAAACATATTCATAAGCTATTTTCATAAGCTCTCCCAAACACTTACACTAGTGCTTATGTCATAGATAAGCCTAAATCAATAAGTTCTTCAAAATCCACATTCCTCTTAAAATTTAGCGGTGTCACTAATCATTTTTCAATCTATGTTCAGTTGTTACTTTTATTTTCTGAAATATTTAATATGTACCTTAATCTAGAGAAAATTGACGGACATAAAATAGGATAAAACATAAAATAGGATAACAAGCAATAGCCAAAATAGGGATGATTATATGCACTGCGTTATATGAATTTGCTGACCCTTTTCCTCTGTCCCATTTTGGAACAGTTGTGTTATGCTGCTAAAACATGGCATGGTGGGTTCTTGGGGTTGATGATTTTTGGTGCAAGTGAAGTGAGTAGAAATGTGGATTTGGGGGATGAGACGACAACCATGATGTGTAAGTTTGTGGTACGGGCATCTGATGCATCCATTACTAAGGAGATTGGATCAGATCTTCAGGGTTGGTTGGATGACCTTACTGATGGTGGGGTGGAATATATGCCTGAAGATGAGGTGAAATCAACTGCAGCAGAGAGACTGCGAATATCAATGGAAAGGATAGCCTTATTGAAGGCAGCCCAACCACGACCCAAGACTCCAAAATCCGACGACGAGGAAGATGAAGAAGAGGATAATGACAAAAAGAAGGATGGGGATGAAGATGACAAAAAGAAGGGACCTTCGACACTATCCAAATTAACTGCTGAAGAGGCTGAACATCAAGCTCTTCAAGCAGCAGTACTACAAGAGTGGCATATGCTGTGCAAGGATAGGTGCACTGAAGTTAACTAACTATTTTTCCATTTTTTATCTATTGATTTGCCGTGTTATATTTCTTTTTGTTTTGTTTTGAGGGCTTTGAGTTTCTTTTTGTTTTGTTTTGAGGGCTTTGAGAAACGAATGAGTGAGTATATTCTTGTAATCCTTTTTATCTTATTTTACATATAGAAATTAGGTAGAAACCAGAAAAACTGTGTATTCTTTGTATTATTATTCCCTTTCCCATTTTTTCAGGAAAGTGTTTTGTACACGGGCCATACCTCAAATTTGTCCTACCTTTATATTTTTTATATGGTTTATTGCATTGCATTTACATATTTGTCATTAGGTCATATTTATTGCTACACTCATAGGATCAAAGTTCTTAGGGTTTCTCTTGACTCAAGATTTTCCATCAAGTAAGAGATTGAGTTTCTTAAAGTAAGTTGTGTGGACCTTATGTTCATGAGCTTCTTATTGATTCAAGTTCATTGGCTCTTTGGATTTCTCAAGAATCTTTGAAATTAGGATTTGATCCTCAGTTACCATCTCTAAAGCTATTTAGTAAAAAATTAGGGTTTTGGTCCCTTTCAAGTTGTGAGCTTCATTTCCATCAAGACTTGGTTTCTATGATCAATTGATAGTCTAAGGTATCAAGTATGACCATTGGATTCATCACAAGATTACTCAAAGTATTGTATTGGATGATTGTTGAAATTTGGACCTAGTTGACTGAAAAAAAGTCAACCTTTTGACAAAGGTATTTTTTGACATTTTTCTTGAGCAACTTGGTTCTTAATGACTTGTATGTCTTAAGAAGTTCTCATATGGATTGTGGATCATTGGTTGGTATTATTTGAAGTTCAATTGCTTAATCTTGATTATTTGGTCATTTGAGAAAAAGTCAACAAAAGTCAAATTTTGACCAAGTGGACTTTTGGTCAAAGTTGAAGTCAATGATCATGTTTCAACATCATATAGCCTATGATTGAAGAAATTCAAGAGAAAAATTGATTTTGAAGTTAACTTGTTTATGAATGTATCTTAGTGAAATTGGAAAGTCATAAGGTTGAACTTCAAAAATTCATAATTTTTTTATTTTTTATTGAAAATTTGCAAACTTTACAAGGTTGAAAAGAGAAAAATAAGATCTATACTTTTGTCAATGTGGTCTCATGTTCAAAAAGTGATTATTTTGAGAGTTATAGAGCAAGGAATTATATGTCACTTTTGAAGATTATAAGTCATTTCTCAAAATTTTAGATTTTCATGGCCAGTTTTGATGATTTTAATGGATTCAAATGAGTTAACTTCCAACAAGAAAGTTGTAGAACATCTCAAGACCTTTTCAAAGAGTAAGTGTTTGTCCATTGATTCAAAGAATTGAGCAAGTTAGGCTATGGGACTGTATTTTATTGAATTTTGGTAAGTCAAATTATTTAATTTTTTGATCTCTTCAATTCTAACCATTCTTTTTTTTTAATTTCAATCAAGCCCATAAGCTATTTGGGTGGTGTATAAGAGAATCAAACCTTCTATTCACATCCATGCATGCAATTGTATCAAGTTTGTACACAAAAAAATATCTCAAATTTACCAAAAATAGCCATTTCTCTATTTCTCTCTCCACACTCCACTAACTTGTACTATCTTTTGGTCACATGCTACTGCATATATGAGCTGTCTAAAACGCACAAAAGGCTTCCCTACCTTTTGTTGCACCCGAACATTTGTCCTCTTAATTTTACTTTTATCAGGCTCAGACTTTTACATTCATTTGTATATATTTCATTAAGTCGTCAACACATACATGCACCCATAAAGCACTTTGATTCAAAAGGATCGACAATATTAAAGTTTTACAACATTTGAGGTGTACATGTCCCATAAAATCTGATTTCTCATATTTCTTCTGCAAGCAAGTGAACTGTGAAAATTAGGGTTTTTGATTTAATCAAGAAATCTCTGATTTTTTGGGCAAGATTTAGTTCCATGCCTCTCTACATGTTAATAAGAACCTATGATTGAAGGATTGAGTGCCAATTTTGATTGGAAGAGGTTCAATTGACCAAAAGGGGCAAAACAGTCATTTTTTACTAAAGTCAACCAAAGTCAACTGTTCACCAAAGAGAATTTTAGTCAACCATCAATTCAATGTCTTTATTTTCATATTTCATGAGCAATGGTAGTATAAAATCAAGAGAAAGGGATGATTTGAAGATAACTTATGTAAGAAGCTACTTGAGAATTTGAATTTTTCCAAGTGTTTATAGTACTGAATTTTGAACTATCACAACTCCTTTAATTTTTATTGAAAATGTGCAAAGCCTACATGCTTGGAAAGCTTATGAGAAATTCTACAACTTTGTCAATGTGTGTCCATATCCAAAAAGTTAAGGGATTTTGAGTTATTCAACTTAGAAGTTCAAGGCACAAAGTTGGGACATGCTAGGCGTCCTTGCACGCTCAGGCCATCATTTTCACAAACACACAGTGTGCCATTTTCATGGAGATACATCTCTCGATTCAAGTTTTAATTTGAAAAATGTTCAAAGGGAAATTGTAGTTGGACATGCAAGCTTCATTTAGCTTTTTGAATCATGCCATTTGACTCAAGAATGAAGAAGATATCATCATTAGAAATTAAGCTCTTTAAGTGGACAAAATTACTAGCATGCAAGCCATGCATGCGTGCGCGCAGCCTGCCCAGTCAAGCTTGACCAGTCATCACCATCATGTTTTCATGCTCAAATTTAAGGTATCTCCAAACTTCAACTCAATTTTCTTTCAACATGAGAGTTATTCTCCTTACTTTTATATTTCTATTAAGAACAAGCTTGATCCAATTGATCAAGAGCTCTTAAAGTTATGTTGAAGAGAAGGAAGCTGAATGTTGTGTTTTGACATGTAGTAAGTTTCAGCATGACACTTACATTTTATTTGCAACAAATCTGGTTTATTACACGCATTCTCTCACTCAAATTTACTCCCTATGTGCTGCCTAAAACGATCCTCAACTCACACCAAAGCAACAGAAGATGCGGGCTTGCATTTCTCCACTCATTTTGCCACAAAATTTCAACCTTTTCTCCACTCTAACAGCTCCAAACCTCCAATGACTTTTCTACCCCCCGCAAAATTTCCTCAACACTCTTTCCCACTCCATACAAACTGCTCTTCACTCTTATTTTAGGAGAGGACTCTTCATACACGCTCCCTCATTTTCTCTCACAAGCTTCAAATTTTCTCTTCATCCTTCAACAAGTTTTTGAAGCTCTCTCTATTCTCTTGCTTCAATTTGCAATTTTTTCATCAATTCATCATCATTAAAGCTTGAAGAAGAATAATCATCAGGTTTCTTATTAAGTTCATAAATATAGAGTGAATTTATTTTTCACCCACTTGAGGTAAGTGTTCTTGAGCTTCAATATGCATTTTTTGCTTACATTTATGATGTAGATCTTGTATGATAATGTAGCTGGCTAGATCTTAGATTTGATGTGTGTTCATGTGTGATTTGAGGTTCAATTCGTGCTCTCCAAGTGTTGTACAAATTGCTTGTTGCAGTGATTTTGTGTCCCTTTACGCTTTGATCTTGTTATATTTTGAAAATCTAAGTTCATCTGGTGGATCCTTGAAGTTTTATGATGAATTTTGATATTTGGATCAATTGATTTATTTAAGAATTGGAAGAGAAGTATGAATTTGAAGTGTTGTTGATGGATATGTTTTTTTTGAACATGTTGTAAATTCATCTAAGCAGTGATTTTCGCGCCAACTTTTCTCTATGATTTGTGTATGGATTGTAGAAGTTCTTGTTTCTATTATGATCATCATGCTTTGATCTCATGTTTTGTTGTTTACATCACGCGTTTTCATCAAGAAATGAAAGAGAAATTGTGATTTGAAGTTAGCATGTCAAACTGCATGGAACACGTTAGGGCATGGTTAGAGAACATGGATGATTACATGGCGCCTTTCAATTGAACATGGTTTGAATTACTTTTACAGCGCGCTTGGTCTTTAACAGGTGTAATAGACTTTAGAATATTTGAATTTTAATGCATTTTCATTTGTTTTCTTTAATTTTGTTTTAATATTTTCTCTCACTAAAAAATTATCAAAAAAATATATTAGACTTCATTTTTAGTCTATTTTCATATTATGAAATTTATTTCTTTTTTTTTAATATTATTTTTAGAAAATTAAATAATTCAATTAATTCAATTAATTAAATTAAGGTTTTCTTCATCTTTTAGGTTCTAGAATTTTATTTTCTAATTTTTACTAACCTAAAAAGTCAACAAAAAATATTGAGTTTCTTTGTGAATCCACTTCATAAAAATAATTTTTGTTTGATTTTATAAAATTTTGTGGCAAGTTGATTAAACCAATCAATTAGTTATATCATTTTCTTTACTTTTTTTTGTTATATTGTGCAAATAATTTTTGTTTGATATTTTCCTCTAGTGATAAAATTCCATAAAAATATACTTTATGACTCTTAGATATTAAACTAATTTTGCATGATTTTTAATTGAATTTACATTCCAATTTTCCTATTTTTTCAAATTTTAGAAACTAATATTAGTTTTTGGTCTTTCTTCTTGCTTAAGCCTAAAGAAACATTTGAAAACCTAACTTGCTTTACTTATAAAAATCATAGAAAATATGTTTGAATTTCTTGGATGACTTAGTATTATAAATTTTGTTTTTTTTGCATTTTAACTTTTGATTTTACATTTTTTACAAATATTTTTCTAAAACTCTCTAGTTTGACCCTTTTGTTAACTAGTCTTGTTAGTTCCCAATCATTTCCACCTCTTCAAGTTAATCTAAGAAATTTAAATCATGTTTCTGACTTTTATAAGTCTTTAGGAAGTTAGGATTTAATTGACTTAATTTTACAAGCCTTTTTCCTATTTTTAACCTAATTTTGATTTACGAGCATGCATAGGCCTTACCTTGACCAAAGTGCTTGTGTTTAAAAATTTGTGTGCATAGTTTAGAGTTAATTTTTGGCATAGTATATA